CAGTAAACGCAGTTGTGAAATGTAGGGCATCAATAATAAAATAACTGCTTTTATCATTGATAATAATGAGGATTATTTTCTTGTCAAATAAAACTAGCGTTCGTTACGTTTACAGTTGTTTTGTATTCTGTCACCAAAACATTACCATTTGATTCCAAATCATTCCATTCTTTTTGACAGGAGTAGCGTTTTATTCCTTGTTTCCCATTTAGGATTGGGTTTCCGGTTTCTTCTGAAAGAGTTAATAAAAGGGAAAAAAGTTTTAACTCACAATCCTTCCAAGAGTTTTAATGATCTTGTGAAATCGTCCTTCTGCCTGCATAAATTTGGACGATGTAATTTTAAATATACAGCTTCCAAAACACGTAAATGAAATTCGGTTTGGACGCTGTGCAGGACAGAGAAACAAGTATGCTGATAAGCAGAGGCACAAAAAAAAATTTGTCCAAAATTCGATCATTTTCGGCTTAACTGTTATCCCCTTTTTCAAATATTTTTGTTATACTACTATAGTAAATAGTGTGTAGAGATTTTCCCAGCGTTTCTTAGATGTGGCACAAGACCGAAAGTATGGGGCACCCATTGAGGATCCAACTCACTTTTCAGTAGCAACTGACCTAGCAAGACTAGCTTGCTAACCATTGCACCACGCCGAGGTGCCCTGAATTTTCTAAGCCAGGCTTAGATGTGGCACAAGGCCAAAAGTAGGGGTCACCCAGTGAGAATCGAACTCACTACTCAATCACAACTGTTCTAGCGAGACAAGCTTGCTAACCATTACACTACGTCGAGGTGTCCACAGTAAATAGTGTGTATGTGATATTGTAGACGGTATAAATGTCGATAAAATTAGAGATACTCTTAAACCTTGGAAAGGACAAATAGCTAACCTCCAAGAGAATGGCCATTACGCCTTTTCTGGCTAACTTTTCCGCTAATATAAAGTGGAAAACGTCTCTTGAATCAATCGCTAAGTCTACAGTTAAGAAATTTGGTTCACTATGTCAATATGGACAACTTTTTCTCGTCAGAATCTATCTTACATATTTATAAGTCTACCATTCGTCCTTGCTTTGAATATTGCTGCCAGTTGTGGTCAGGTGCTACTGTTATATATTTAGAGATTCTTGAGAAATACAAAGAAGAATACGTAATGTTATTCGTCCTGACCTGGCATCTCGGCTTCGGTCACTTCCCCACCGCCATAATATAGCTTCCCTGTGTCTTTTCTATAAATACTTTCATGATAATTGTTCTGATGAACTTTCCTCTATGGCACTAGACTTTAGGCGCAGCACTGGATTGGTGGCAAGTTTTCATTATATTACAGTTGAAATGGCTAAAAACGTAAGTTCTATGCTAACAGTTTCTTCTCTTGCACTTCTGAAATCTCGTAGAAATCTCTGTGGCTGAATCAATTAATAGCACGTCAGGACAAATCACGGTTTCCATATAGGTATACAGATACGATTCCTGTAGGAGGACGCATATTTCCGATGAGATTTCTCGAATATTCAGGCCGGTAAATTTAATTAATACTGTTTGATTAAAACAGGGCATTTGCTCAAATAAGCTGTATCCAGAAAAATAATGTGTGAACAAAAAAATATTAAAGAAGAATATTTTTGCCTCTGCACATGTGTTCAACTTCGTTTTAAGCATGTTTATATTCGAAATGTTTTACTAAATGTTTGACGTGGATATAAAAAGTACACCTGGAATTTAATGCTCTTTTTAATATAAAACAAATAAACTCTAATATTTTTTATGGCCTTTGCTTATACGCCACTCAGAATCGTCATAATGTTCACGTAAGAAAAATTAAATTGTTTCATCAGTCAGTTATGTGCCATGCGTGATAAGCGCTTAAGCGGTCATGTATCTTACGATACATGACTGACGAGGCAGATTTTTTTTTCTCGCAGTAGGTTGCAATTTTTTTCTGCTGTAGACCCGTTGCCATCCAAGGCTATAGAACATGGTCTGTCCTGCTATTTGCCCATAGCTAGGAGAGGGAGAAGAAGAGGATCCACACCTTTCCCAAGGGTATTAGCATATAAGTGAATGTAATGGATTCGACTGGAATTCGAACTCGGCTCTCCGATTCTTCAATCCAAGCCGCTGTCCATTACTCCGCCGTTCTTCGGAAAATCGCTTCATACGAGTTGCAAATATTGCACTATACCGGTACAAAGGTATGAACATTTGGGAGTTTATTGCAGTTACTTCCCAGCATATATTTTTATTTATTTAAATCAATTCACCCCAAGTAAGGATATAATGCCAATAAGATGGAAGGGCTTACTGGGAGTGAAAGAGATTGAAAAATACATTAGAAAGAACCGAAAACTGAATCCTAAACAGGAAAGAAAGGATAAACCTCTTCTCCACTTTAAAAGCCCGGGAGGGGGGTGCCTGAAACTGACAATATAGTACGAACAAATTACTATTCATTAAAAAGCAACTGTAATTTTATATAAAGATTTTTTAAGACATTTCT